GCCCAGCGCAAACCTAGTTATACAGCGGGTCCCTGGCGGAATTCAAAAACCAGTGACGTCCCTGGCCAACCTGCCCACCTGCTAGTGTAACTCGGGGCAGGCGATGCAGCACTGGCACTGGCCGGACAAGGGGACGAGGAGAGCGGGCGGGCCGACGGCCCCAGGGGGGGACAGCGTCCGGGAGCGGCGCCTGCCAGCAGCGGCAGGGGGCCAAACAGCAGGGAGGGCCCATTCAACACCAATCTATCGTGACGAATCATCCCTGCGGCTAACGGGACATCCAGCGATCAGTGCTCCGGCTAGAGAGGCGCGCGTGTGTTAGTGTGTGTGTGTGTGTGTGTGAGGGAGAGGGGGGGGGAGAATGGGAATTGGCGAGGATGTGCTGTCCGCCCGAGGGCACCGTCCTCACGGCCGCGCCTTCGACACTTCTAATGCGCGCCGTCCGAGGCGCCGTCGCTCATTTCCTAGTTGCAGGGTGGGGCCGTGCAGGGCGGACAGAAGTGGAGCGGGGCAGCGTCTTGTGTAGCGTGAGTACCCGGCGGGCGGCCGGTACCCGCGGCCAGCCGGCCCGGCCCAAGGGATCTAGAGCAGCGCAACACCGCGGCCCGGGTGAGGACCTCTCGGACCTCCCGGCGCGGGCTAGACCTCCGACGGGGACCTCCTGGCCATCCCCAGGCCTCCTCCATGGGGAGTCGTCGGTCGGCGGCCATCTCCAGCAGAGGGCCCCGTGTTTTCGGAGACTACGCCGCGAGTTTGGCGGGGCCGGCTGACGCCCCTCCCCCCTTCCTCCCCCTTTTCCTCCCCCTTCCTCCTTCCTTCCCTCTTGCTCCCTCGAAGACTCGGCCTATTATTTCTGCCCGGAAGAAAAGTCGCCTCCGCTCGCTCCTCTCGTTGCTTCCGTCGTATAAGACGCTTCGTCTTACCCGGCGTCTTCTTGCCTTGTCGCATTTCGCCGTCCGGCGCAGCCGGATCCGACCCGCGCGGGTTACAGACTATTGCGCGGTGATAATGAAGGAGCGCTGGGCGGGGCGGGGCGGGGCTGGCGCGATTGGAGCTGGAGGTTGACACTGCCCCGCCTCCTGCAGCTGGCCGTGCTCCTCGTTATCGTGTCGAACGGAGGACGCCAACATCAGCAGCGCTCGTTCCGCCTGTGCTGTGCCAAGCTCTGCTCTGATTAGAGGCGGGGCGGGGCCTGGCGGGGCCTGGCGGGGCGCTCGGTAGGCAGCCCGCACCGCCCCGCGCGCCGGCGGCGGCCTACCTCCCGGGCGCTCCGCCCACCCCGCCGCCGCCCGCCGCCCCGCGCCGCGCATCCCGCGCCCCGGGGCACTGACCCCGCCATACGCTCATTCGAGTAGGCGGCGACGGCAGCAGACGGCGCGTCTCGACGCCTCGACCGCCACAATGACGGCTGGCTGCCGCGACAGAGTCGTGCGCCGGCGTGCCCATGCGTGCGCGTGTGCGTGCGTGCGATGCGCACGAAAGACGTGGCGCGCCGGCTTTTTCCGCGATGCCGTCCGTCCGCCTGTCCGTCGTCGTCCTGGCGCCTGCAGGTGTAATTACCGCCCGAGGGCCGCGTTGCAGCGTCGCGTCGCGTGCGCAGCGCGTCGCACCGGGCCGGCGCGCAGCCGTGCCGCGGCCGCACCGCGCAGCACAGCACGGCGCCCGCAAAAAGGGAAAAGCCCGAAAGATGATAAAAGCCCTCTTGTTATCGTTTTGGACGGGTGCGGCGGCGGCGGCGGCCGCGGTGTGAAGAGGCTCCGCGGCTGCTGCACCGGCTGCGCGCTGAGCCGTGCGGGGGCCGTGTAAGTATGTGCGTTGTGTGAAAGCGCGGTCGGTACAATGCGATGCGGGCGGCGGCAGGCGGTGCGGCGTGGCGCGCGGCTGTTTGAACAGCTGGCCCGAACGGCGCGCGCTCGCTCTCTTTTTGTCCGATTTTCCGTTTATAACTGTCCAGAAAGGGCCGCGGACTTTTCTTCCGCGCCGTCGCCGTGCACGAGCGGCCGTGTGTTGTACACATCATCGCCCTGAAAGCGGGGCCTTGTTAGTTAGGGCCGCGCTCTTGTGAAGTGCGCGCCGGGGACGCCGCTTTGGCTCGCGTCCTCTGCTCGGCGCGGCTGCTGCGGTCCAATTTGCGCGCGTCACGATTTCTCATACTCGGATGTCACGTTGGTTGTCGCTCCGGGTGGAAAGCGGTGTTCCAGCGGCAGCTGCTGCTGCTGCTCCTTTTTCCACTCGGTTGGGGACGACGGTCAAGGCCTCCACGCCTCAACGCCCTCCTCCCCCCTCCCTTTGCCCCGCCCCGCTGCGCCTTCGCAACCTGACTGACCGGTGGAGCTCGCGGCCGGGTCCGGCTGGGCTAGGCCCGTGCGATTAGCGGAGTGGAAGGGGAGGGGGGGAGGGCTACCTGCCGCCGTGCGTCGCCGGTCTGGGTCATGACCCCCCCTCTCCCCCCCAATCTCTCTCTACCTCCTTCCGTTTTCCTTATCGTTACGACCGTCGGCCGTTTCGTTTGCTCCTGGAAATCGCTATTATTTTCATTCTGATACCTTTTCTCTCTCCGCGAGTTCTTGTTGAAGGTAGGGGAGCAGAGGGTGTGCTGGTGCTGGAGCGAGCAAGCGCCTGCGGGGTGGACTGTCCCGCAACACTCGGGTGCCCCAAGCTGCTGGGGGTTGCCTACCCGGCAGGCGCTCAGACCGACAGATAGATAGGGTACTGCACCGACAGACAGAAGACAGACGAACAGAGATGATGACGGCCAGATAGACAGCCAGTGAGAGTGGCTGGGGCGCAGCTGCGCTCGCTTGCGCTGACCCCACCTCGCGGCGGGCAGATGCGGGCCTGGCGATAAGCCCGTAATAGTTGCAGCTCAGGCGCTCCATGCCGCGCGCGGGGGGGTTGCATCCGGACCGACACGAAAAAAGAAGAAAAAGAGACGAGAGCAGATGAGTAACGAGAGAAGAAAGTGATAATTAGAGAGGTTCGCTAACGCATTGCGTCACACGGCCCGCCCGCGCGCCACTTGAAACCATAGCGCTCGCGCCCCCGCCGCCACAAGCCGCGTTTTAGCCAACTTTCCCGCGCTGAGCCGAGGCGGTGGCGGCGGGGCGACGGCGGAGGTGGCCGCCGGAGTCATAATAATGCATTAGCGTAATTAATTCGGCGGCCTCGTTAGGTATGCAGCGCTATAGGGCGCCGCCCGCGGGGCCGCCGGCAAACGGAAACGGAGGAGGCGGGCGACAACGACGACAATGA